GGTCAGGTCGGTATCCCGAAAGACGTCCATCAAATGCTGAAACAAGGCCGCCTTAGTTCTATGCGCCTTGGAGTAAGGTCGGATGCTCGTGGCGAGCGCCGGCGGAGCCCTCTGCTTTAGGTCCTTCAGGATGTCCCTGATGAGCCCCATCGAAAGGCAGGAGACGCCATTGTGAAACCGTTGCACTTGCGGGGCGCACTCGTCGCTCATGCTTGCTTTCCATTCCTCTTTAAGATAGAAATAGTTTCATCCGGTCTATTTCTGCATCATCATCCGACTTACAGCCATGTTGCCAATGAAAGCATAATCTTTCATCATGAATCGCTCATCAGACACACCACACTATCAACAGCCTGCGAAAATTTCAAAATCTTCTGAATGGTTTAAAACGGGCATTCGACAGACACGAAAGCAGCACTTCGTCATTGATCCAGTAAGGAGACTTGATCCTGATTGCCAACTCGTCAATACCTGACTGATAAGCCTTATCCACCTTCCTTACAATGTGGGTATCAACAGTTACGAGTCCCCTAATATCTTTCTCGTCATTGAGTGTTTGTGAATCTCACTTATGACAAGAAAAATGTCAAAGTCCTTATCGTCTGGATTGAATCGAACCCAGGATGCGCCTATCTCAGCAGTGATCCACTGTTGTCGCTTTTTTTCTTTTGACCATTCGTAGCCACTGTGATTCCTTTCGTCGCACTCTACTGCTAATCTGTACTCGGGAAAGTACAAATCCAGTCTGTAGATTCCCACTCGGTGCTGGAATACCATCTGTTCTCCTTTGAAAGCTCTCATCACCGCCGTTATGGTATGTAACTCGTGCGAGTACGCCTTGAATCGCATTGAAAGCGGTATACCAAGTTCTTCCGCAATTGCTAGACTGTTCGGCATGCGAGAGTTGTAGACAAGGTAAGTCACACCAATCTCCGTAATAAAGCGTGCCGATTTTACATTTTGATTGCCAGACAGCCCTATCTCGCCACCAAGGGCCACGCAGTCCACGGGGACGTGCATTTGGATTGCTTTTTTTGCATTTTGGTACCCGAGCGCTCGCGCGATGTCGTTGCCTTTGAAGTACCAGACCCCGTCCTGTTGTATTCTCTCAATGCACTGTCCGATTGCAAATAATCCGTCGGTCGTAGATGCTTCTGTGGAAGTTTCCTTTGCCGCACCATCGAGTTTTCGTTTCTTGTTTGGCCGCTCTCGGAGTAAGGCAACACCGTCGGTCAGCACCCACTCCCGAAGACATGCCACAGACTGAAAACCTGATTTCGCGGTAAATTGCAAGAAGCCTTCCTTGTCTATGTAGCGAGAGTTGCGCTCGTTTTCATCCACAGCATGACCTTTGCCAAATGTCATGTGCCCCCCTTGACCTAGCAGCTCAGATAATGTGCTGATGCGATGTGTGCTCACGTGTGTCACAACCGCTTTCTTTTGATTGGAGTATCCTAGTAGGTTGGCGACGTCATTCCCTCGAAACCAGGGATCTTTGTTCTCTTCCCCCACCAAGAGAATGCGCACATTCTTGTCGTCGGATCTGATCAGCTGCTGATCTGCGTCGAACGTGAAACTCGCCATGCTTGCGCCCCTACGAGCGTGCGCGAATATATTCTATAACGTTCGGACGCAAGATGCCGACTTTGGCGCCGTCACCTTTCCTTCAAACCCTCCCCAACGTTGGATGCTCCTTTGGCCATCATGAAGGTTCCTTCAGACGACACACTTCTCCCCGGTTATGTTATCTGGATTGGAGAGTCTCTCTTTGTCGTTTTCCGGGTCTGGCGCACTCGTCACTCATGATGTAAGGCATACAATCAGGCGTCGTTTTAACACAACAATCAAAGCCACGTGCTGGCTAGCGGACCAAATAAGTACAACGTTAGAGCAACACAAACTCTAGTAGAACGTAAAGAGAGAAGCCGAGCACAATCAAGCTAAAGCATCCTATAATGACATCAAGCGGGGGTTTTCGGCGAGTCTTCGAATACGGCTTGAGAGACGTCTTGGCCTGCTGAGCTATAATATTGCAAGCAAACAATCAAGAGGCAGTTCGACGGCACGAGGATGAATTATGGCACCCGGACCACCACCATGGCGGAATTGAATAAGACGATGGAACATGCTCTTATCTCTAGCAGTTCCTCATCTCCCGAAGTTAAGAATGTGCGTATGCACCTGGTTTATCACATCTATGATATTGAAATCAGAGCAGTCCGGGTTGAAGCGTATCCAACTCGCTCCCAGGGCCTCGGTCAACATTTCAGTCCTTGTCAGATCCTTGTTGGCATCGTAAGACGTGTGACCGTGTTCGTCGCACTCTACGACCAACTTATAGTCGGGAAAGAATAAATCGACTCTGTATTTTCCCACTGTATATTCTCTTTCCATCTTGTGTCCCCGGAACGCCCGCCATATGACGGCAACGTAGTGTGTCTCGTGATGGTATTGCTTATACGCAGCAGATATTGGAATACCAACTGCTTCAGCGATCTCGACGCTGTTGGGTAGTCTCGACAAATGAAGCAAGGTTGCCGCGCCCTCTTCTGTGGTGTATGTTGTCAAAGCTTCGTTCCCGTTTGAACCGAAGCCAATATCGGCCCCACTGAACCGAAGTTCAGCAGGAATGTGTAGCTTCCCTGCCTTCTTGCAATCCCTGTAACCAAGTACCGAAGCGATGTCGTTCACTTTGTAGTACATTTGGTTCTTGTAGAATACGGTGTGTACACTCCGCAAGCGCACAGCCAAATTGGCTTGAATGCTATCAGTACTGTCTCTTGCGTGCTCTGTGCGGATCTTTTTTGACGCAGAAACAATTACATCTGACCCGTGTCTTTTGGTCTCCCGTTCCGACGTCAATTCCCTGATTTTCAACTCGATTCTTAATTGCTCCGTCCTTTCCTTTGATTGTAAAGTCTTTTCCCGTTCAATGGCGAGCTGACATTCCAAATTTTCCATCTTTGATGAAAATCGTCCAGTAGGTCCCGATTCTACTTTCTTAAGCCGTTCGCGTTTGTGTTACATCGTGCGACAGTGATGGAGATCCCTGCAGCATTATTGTACCAAAACACCGCGACCGTAACGTCCTTCTCGATGTCAATCCCCATTGTCGGATTCGATGTCCACAACAATCTACAGGACGAAGACAGAGCGCGCTTTGCCCTGTTGACGGAACACAACGGGATAAACGGCTAAGTGGATGATACTTTTATTTACGTGGATCGTTTTTCGCGTTTCCTCAGCAAGGCATGCCTGAAAAACAGAAGAACATTGAAAGTGAACCTTGGAATACTTCGCTCACCAAGTTCTTCTCTTGACGAGTTTTCGTC